GTTGCACTTGAATTCGCGAGCTGGAGGAGGAATTTCCGTAATCGAAGCAAAACACGGCCACATCGACGTCTTTGTGGATCGTATGAGAGGAGCGCCGTCTGTATGAATGTTGAGGGTGATTGGATTGATTACATTTTTTGTCGTCTTAATATAATGTTGACCATTGGATATATCAGCAGCTGGAAACAAATTTTGGTCTGTTAACAACGAGAAATTTCTTCTGATAATAGATTTCAATTGACTTTTTATGTCCATCGTTACAATTTCTGTCATTTGACATTTCGTTAACTGTCCAGAGAATATACAGCGATGATTGTCGCATACTGTTTTACCATTATTGGTGGTCGTCAATTGTAAACAGTTGTTGCAGTAGAGTTTATTTATTGATAACGACGTTTGATTAAAAACTTGTAGAATTTTATGATACGTTGTAGGAAGACGATTTGGACGCGGCAGTAGTTGCTTTATAATTCGCATTAATTCAATCACATTTTGCTTATTCAAGTTTGCTTTCAAGGCCAATTTCATTATTGTTTTTACTGAAGACGCCAAATGAACATGACCGTTATCGTACAAAAGTGGTGAAATATCAGCAACTCGGGTTAGTTTGCCGTTGTCTGACTCTTCTTGATCATGTATGTCAGCATAATAGTCTTCCAATGGTGGTAGCGGCGTATCTTCTGCTCTTCCGGTTGATGTGTTTAGAACAGAATTTTCGTCTTCGATATTTCCATCGTTGTCGTCGTCACTGTTACTGCTAATTTCCATTGCTCTTGGCAAACGAAGATTCCAACGAGCTTCACGAAGTTTCTGACGTTTAATTCTTTCACGGTATCGAAACATATCTGAAACAGACAAAAGGAAGTCAGATAGTAGCATCGACATCTCTTAAACTGTGACTAAAGGTAATGTAGCAAATATATAGTTAGATGTTGAATATAAAGCTATGGCTTAGAACGAACAACTTATATACCACTATATTTTCTCCTTTTCTTGTATCCACTGACGTGTATAAAAAGTCTACACGACGTAATACGATAAAGAAGAAAAGCGAAAATTAAATTTAGACATTAAAACTCTTAGGACGACGAAAAATACAGTAACATAGACACGCACTAAGTGAATATATAAATATTATACCCTAAAATATTGTACAAATCTACCTAGAATAAACAAGCTCGAATCGGTATATACTATAGTAAATCGAGGATATAACAGATGTAAAGTAATAAGCCCACAATGGAAATCTACTATAAGAATAGCACATTGTGGTCGAAGATTTTATAAAGTTGAAAATCTAACTGCGTCAGCGGTTACTAGTGTAAACGCGGTTAGCACAATAGCACTATTCAATAATATATCTACTGCCAATTGTTCAAGTATTACTGTTGTAACATTGTACGAATACAAAGTACAATAAATATTACATATTATATTTTTAACATATTTTCAAATCGCTAAAAAAAATAAAAATAAAAAGTGGAACTGAAAAACTATTCTTCAATCCCTTTTTAGTGTGCAAAGTGGTAGTTTTTGTGGTCAAAAGACGTAGCAAGAAACTATGTGGAAGGGACACATTTCTCGTAATATTTGAACAGGTCCTTCGACCGAAAGTTCTATAACTATGAAGACACTGAGAAGAGAAAAGCGCGAGACACAACCATTTCCCCTCTGGTAGCGATCGTACAGATTCAAAAAACATTTATTACATTAGACGTCTCTTCATTAAACGTTTCAAAATAGGTTTCTTGTTTATTTTCTCTTTTTTTTCTCTTGTTTTGTTCTCATTGTCTCTTTTTCTATAAGGCCGTACTTATCAACGAATCTCAGTACACACGTCTTTCCTCCTCAAGAGACTGTGTATACGTCGATTCTTGTGCCGACTTTTTTGTTAATACCGATTATCGCATTACCAGAAAAAGAGACCATTTAATCGCGAGGTGCCGAAAAGTCGCCGATTTATCGCGACTAAACGGTGACTTTTTCGAAAAACGCGATAATCGCCGATTTTTAAGCGACATTGAAGACATGGGTTATATTCTAACCCAATAGAATAAAATGGAGAAAAAACATTCTGGTATTTCGTTGTATTTCCGGCACCTTGTTTAGTCATAATAGACACCTACTTTAATTACATTATTAGTATTATCTAATTCTCTTTTCATCTATTGAAGCACAACTGCTTTATAAGCGTTACACTCCGTTTTTTGGATTGTCTGTTCTGTATAATTTGTCTTTGGTAGACCAGCCTATCTGCATCAGTCTCAATTTTTTTGAAATTTTTCTGCGTACTGGATTTCAAATAGACAAATTTCTGAGAGCTGATCTTAGTACATTTTGATCTCCTCTTTCAACCAAAATTAGTTTGAAACAAATTGAAAAGAATGAGAAATTCATTATTGGTAATTAAAATAAACAGTTCTTTCGTTTTGAACCATTATCATTTTAAGCATCGTTAAGATTCCTTATCGTTGATAAATCTTCAATCACAGCCAAACTCATAACAGGTTTATGTTTATGATTTTCGCTCTGTACACCATGGAATCCACCAACGATGTAGCATGTTTTCCTTTGCCCGGTGCAATGGTTTTCAACTTCAACTGGTACTTTTATATTATTTAACGTAATATCATCAAACTCAATTTGATTGGAATTGATATTAATACCATAAAATAATTTTAATATCCATCCACTAATGTACATTGTACTACCGGAACCTAATTGACCATGTTCTAAATTCATTACACGATCCCAAAAGCCAGAATTTACGTGTCCCTGATACGTTTTAATAAATTCATCTAATATTGGTAATACATTATCCAAATATTGATGATAATCATCATCAGTTTTGGTATACATTTTCAATTGTTCGGTCTTATGTTTCAATAAATGCCAATCATCCGATGTACCTTTTCAACGACGACAAAATAATATGCATTTAAAGAATTAGATTTAAGATCAAACGTTGCCATCTTACATACCTTGAAAATGTACGGCTCTTATTCCGCAATCTGGAATACATCGTCCATAAGAAAAGTAAGCTTTAAACGTATCCATTATACAGGCATAAGATAAAATTGATTCAATTTGTGTAGTTGTTGAAAAATTTGATACTAAGTGATCAATAATATCAGCACTTTTTACATTTTTTGATATTTTTTCTTTCATCATACCAAAAAAATCGGTCCAGTCTTCTTCTCGTTTACCCACCGGTTCTGTAACTACTAACTTTTTCTTTTCTTTATGATCAACAAATAAATGACGTAATTGCTCAGCATTATCGTTGACATATTTTGAAAAATAAATCGAAATCATTAACCATAAATCATCAGGTGAGAGTATTATGTCTTCATGATTATTATAAGCCAACATAAACGAGTGAAGTATGGCATTTCCTGAAGAACTGTTAAAGTGCGAATTGGATATTTGATATTGTACTCGATATTTATCAACTGACTTTCCTGTATGATAATCATGAATCTTGTTGATCCAATAACTATCATTCATTGATAATGGCTGATTATTAAAACGTCCGGAATATTTTTGCTCTGGTTCAATATCGTTTATTTTCACTGTTTTATACATTGTCGTTTTTCTTCAAATTAATTGACAATAAAAAAATAGAAAATATCTGAACAAATAAATATTACTAATTATACTGAACGTGAGTCTTTTCAAGAAATTGCGGATTATTAAATGAAAGGGCTTACTAACTTTTTTCGTAGGAGGAATAAAAGGCACGTCTTAGTAAACGGATGTTAACAATAAAAATCATATATTACACGTATGTTTTCCACGCTGTTAGAAGAAGAAAGGAGCAAACATCAGAATTGCACAACAAGTTGAAACAGAAATAGAGAGAAAAACAAAAGTAGGTGTCATAAAAAGTATTGATGATGATTCATTACTGAATAATTACGAACAGATAAGATAGATTCTATAGAACAAGTTTTCAATTATCCTGTAGAGAAGAAAAGTTTTACACATGAAATAAATACCGTATTAATACCCACAATATATTCGATGTGACGCCAGTATGCTTATTTTGATATACGAATGAGAGAATTCCTTTGCATATGAACTCATTACTACTAACTGGCTCTTTTTAATTTTGTTATTTTATTTTATTTAGTCTCGTAAATCTACTTTTATGTATTATTTAGATTAATCAAAACGTTAAAAAAGTTATAACAAATTCCTTCATAAAAAATAATAAGTTATGCAAGATGGGGGATATGATACAGATAGTTATTTTTACAAGCTCCAAGTGGCTAATGTTTCATGTCAGACATAGAAAATATTGAAGACGAGCAACATAAAAAACTGTTGCAGCTAAAATACGGTTGATTCTTTCGAGACCCAGGTCCAAGAAAACGGCACCGTTAACGGTAAGTTAACGTGCCGTAAATGGACCGTTTTCAGAACCTAAAACTCGTAACGTTTTAGGGTCTTAAATAAATCGTTTTTTCACCGTTTACGGATCGTTTTCTAAACGTTTTCTTACCATTTACTGGCTGTTTATTGACCGTTTACTGGCCGTTTTTTTGTTGTTTTGAGAACATTAACGGGCCGTTT